TGTAAAAAACAGTACTTTGTAATTATAACTTATGGTCATAACTGTTAGTGGACTACTTACAGAAGCAGAAACAAGAACCTGTTATAGTAACTGTGCTTCATGAACAAGCTGATCTAATATGTTAAGAACAGCAGATATTACTATCATGACTGTCAGAACCATTCTGCTACTGACTGACTGTGAAATCACACACCGGAGGTTGGCTAATTCATGTTAAACTGTTCAGCCATTGCTTTGTTAATGACTTCTCTAAATACATAGCGTGATGCGATCCTCTGGCATATGCTTTAATAAATGGATGCATACTGAGCAAAAAAAAAAAAACATATATTTATTTATATATGTAAACTATAATTTTCTATTCTGTGTTGTGTTTTCAGGCACAACACCTGGGGGACATACAGTTGTGCCTTTCCACAGGTGTTCCTTGCAGAGGACTTACTGAGACCATCAGAAGGCAGCGCTCCTCTGTCTACCTTTCTCCCACATAAACTCTGCACCACCGCCTGCTGGAACCCAAAGATGAAAAACAGGATTACACTGATGTCCGAAAATGGCCGTGGAAAAAAGACATAAATTATCACCTTTGATCTAACAGCCAGGAATACTGGAGGTCAAACAGTCGTCCAAGCATATGAGATCTCAAGTTTCCAGTTGGCACCTCATCTGAAGTGCCCTTTCTGGATAGGAGCCAGTGATGGATACTCGGTTGTCTTTCCCAGTGGGCCATACTTGCTCCTCTTCAGCATCACTGGCCTCCTGCTGCAACAATTTCAGGACCACCAGACACCCATCAACAACTTCTAGGCGAATGCTCTCTATGTGCTCACCACATCCGATGACTCTGTGCACCGGTACCTGTGGGAAGAGGGAGGCTGCCCTCCATACCTCAGGATCTGCTGTCACCTGGACATTACATGGCGTGATCACGTACCACATGGCTTTATCTCCTGTGTGATGTGTGACAATGCAAGCATAGTACTTAAGGTGAGAAATATAACCGAATCCAGCATTGTGGTGATGCATTCTTTGAATATGTAATACGGAAGCTAACAAAATTGACTTTGCATAATCTTCTGTAATGTAGTAAAGAGAATTCTGTTTGCAAAAAATATATATATATAAAATTTTTATACACACTGAACACACACTTATAATTATATATATATATTGTGTATAAAATATTGTATAATTAAACTTATTATATATGTTTATATATAGTATATATAATGATCCCAGTGCAGGCTGGGATCATTTTGGCAGAGTTGGTTCACAGACTATGTGCCCTCAAAATTACCCACTCTGGGAATACTTTCTCCATCTGTGTATTTGAAGAGGGAATCTAATAACTTCTTTTGATGCTCATTTTGATCGATCTTCAAAGGTCTACTGTGTGCCACCCTCATAGAAGTATCAGGAAATCAGAAAAGGAAGCGAAAAATGGGGGAAGGAGGCCACATTTTTTAGGACCCTGAGTGAAGAGATGGGCTCCTTCCCTTTTGCCTCGCCAGGCGTGGCAGCTGACAGTGTCTAGGATGAGGGCACAGTGTACACCCTTCTCATTCTGATCCTGTCCTGGCCCCACAAGCCCCTGAGACAGAGATCTCTAGGACAGTAGTGTGGTTTGTGTGAATGCTGGACTGGAAGTAAAGAGGGCAGGATTCTAGTCCACACTCTGCCTCTGCCCCTGACTCATGTGTGACATGAATCTCTCCACTTCCTCTCTTTGGTTCCCCATGTGGCTCTGTCCGTCGGATGGCTCTGTTCTGGATGTCTTCCAGGAGTCACAGCGCCACAAAACAACAGAACTGGAAAGACCCTGAGAGGATCAACACTCTGACAGCTTGGCTGGGGAAACAGGTCCAAGTGGGCCGGGGACCTGGCCAGAGTCACACTGTG